ATAAAGAAGGACTTTTACTGTCCATCCACAGTAAGTCTAAAAAATTTAAAACACTTGCTGGAATAAACATAAATGTTTCTACTCTTTCCAAATTCCTCCTAGATTCTTGGATGGAGTAATGCAAATTCACTTCCGTATATTCTATTATATGTCTGAAGCTCTTAATACTTAAGAATAACTTGAATAGTACTAAAAATAGCAGTAAAATGGAACAGTTCAATGAAGCACCAAGGTAGAGGTGAGCAGGGCAATCTCAGGCACATATAAGTCGTGAGCTTCTTTATCTTCCACAAAGGCATCTCCCTTAAATTTAAATAGCTGCTGTCATTGTCACTGACTACCTGACTATGTATTTATCTGCCCAGAAGCAGAGTGCATGGCCTTTGGCCCTGCTATTCATGGTGCTACTGTCTCTGCCTGACAATGCTGTGAACAGAGCTTGGCTTCTTTTACCCTCTTTTGTTTGAAGTGAATCACTGAAGCTTTGATGTTGTTTGTGAGAAAACTAACGATAAAAAGAATAAGATCTGCACTTTCCCCCTCTGTCTGCTCCCCACAGAGAAATCTAATCTGAGTTGGGGAAAAATCTGTGACGGAGTCTCTTAGGTACACACAGACAGCAGAGTCCCCGGGATAGGAAGCTGATGGTGTTAAAACGCTAGCCTCTCTTTACTGCAGCTTCAGAGAAATAGTTTGTCTTAATGCTCCAAATTGTGTGTTTCCGTTACACAAACACGTATGGCTAACAGGTATAGAATACTTTATCTGCATGGTGAATGCAGCTGTCAGTGTAGCCATAGTGCTTTATTTTCTGTGGCATGTTTTAGACTTTCTGCTTTAGTTGCATGTATTCCCCCTTTATAGAGCGCTCTAGCCAAAAAAAAAAAAGGGGGGGGGGGGGGGGGATAATGTCATACTGAGGGAAGGTACGTTAGTAGATTTCAAATGCTCTATAGTTCAAAAAAAATGTATTTTTCCATATAAATGATTATTCTAATAAGCTTGTTTCTCATCTCTACTGATGAACGTCTTCCTTGCTGTCATTTTTGAATGAAGAGCAAATGTTACTTAGTAAAGCATAACTAAAGTCCCTAACTAAAATTAGAGCTTCAGAGTAAATGGATGGCTGTTCTGCTACTCAGGGCAAAATTCCACTGGCACATAAAAATACTCTGATCAGTGATCACTACAGTAACAAAAAAGTAAATTCAATAAAATTATAATGTCCCAAGTGTAATAAAAAGCAATGAACAAAAAATTGGAAAGCTTTTATCTTCACAATCCTTTAATATACAGGGTGAAGGAAACAGATTTGATTACTAAGGTATTTTGAAATTGGAGATGGCTCCGTTCCCACATGAAACAGTGTAATGTGGGACAGCTCAAGGGAGCAGAGTCACGGCTTACCTTCTGACAAGAGAGGAGTCAGCTTGGAGTGCCCTTGCATTAGCAAACACAAAAAGGTTTTGGATTTTAGATGCCTGGATATGGGAAATTTAGGGATGGGTGGGTGGGTGTATAACTTTTTTTTTTTAATACCCTCAGCACTCTTTGTGTGTGTGTGTGTGTGTGTGTGTGTGTGTGTGTGTGTATTCAGCTTCAAACTTCAGGTTAGCTCATGTAGCGCATTAGCTCTGTCTTTGGCTTTCTTCAGGGTCGGGCTGTCCCTATCCCCAAGGGACAGTAAAACAGGCTTGCTCATGGAACATGGTGCAAAGCTTGAGGATTTGCTAGTCACTTGTAAACCTTCTCACAAAAAAAGAAGGGGCCAAATAATAGTGTCTAGACAGGTGAGCAGTGCTGAGATCTACATCTCCCTGATAAAAGAGACTTGATCGTGATGGGGCAAAAAAATGCTGCACCTCAGCAGCTTGTCATCAGCTACTCCAAGGAAAGGCAGAGAGGAGCCCAGACACATACGGAGCGGTAGAGCCAAAGCTCCCCAGACGTCTGATCAGATCCCAAAGACTGTTTCAGAGTAGAGAGACAAATGAGGCAAGGCAGATCATATATGTGGTGTTTTTTTAATCTGAATCCATATCTCTTTTGTGCAAGGAATAATTCTGTAAAAAGCTCTGCACAGTTTATATGCTAAGTGTTTTAACTAGCAAGCATTCTTCATGAGCTAAAGCTGTGACCCAGAGTGCCCACAAGCTTGGACTCTGGAGAGTCCAAGTATGCGATGGTGTGGTCAGTGGCACTGGTGTGGTGTCTGGAGGTCAGTGGTCGCTCCTGGAAAGCTGGGCTCTAAAGTGCCTTCTCTACTGGAAGGTGTACTTTAGAAAGCTGCAGGTGCCAAGAATAGCCTACTCTTGGGACTGCCTCAAACAAATAAGATCTTGTCACCTAGCCTGATGCTGCAGGAGGAACTCGGCTACAGCGGTGATATTTTCTGAGTTTACATTTGCTTTTTTGATCGGCTTTCTCTGAAGCATCAGTGAGTTGCACAGTTGTTATATAATAATAATGTATGTGTGTGTCGTTAGTCACCCTGATGTGCCAGACTTACTGCTTTTCTGATTAAAGCAAAACTTCTCTCTGACTTTAATGGGAGTTGCCAGCATTCACTGACTGCTGAGACCGTCTCTGTTGTGTGGGTGTCAAGTAGAACGGGGCACAGCATAAAGTCCTGCTGCAGCAGTTGGGTTGGTATGGGCGCACACGTTCCCCCCCACACAGAGTTCCCTTCAGGGCTTTGGATACCGGCATCTGCCCACATGGATCAAAGACTTCTAATCCCTATTATAGAAATAACTATATGCAAAAGCCTTGATTTTGTTCTCTATGGTTTAATGTTGTAATTCTGATAGCAAAATGAGTGTCAAATGTTTATGTCAAACATACGGTTTCTATAAGCACTATGCTACTGAGCTGCATAAGCACCACTAAGATTTTACTAATTTGTCAGCTGCCACTCTGCCTCTTTGTATTGCATTTGTAATGATGTAACCCATTCTGTCCCCACATGCAGTCCCTACAATGTGTTACAAAGGCTAGAATTTTAAAGAACGCGTTTAGAAAGGAAAAAAAAAAAAAAAAATCCAGGACTTAGCCATAGTTGTAGTGTGTTTAGCCAGCCCTAAGCAGAGGATTGACAGTGCCTGAATACACTGCTGATGTGATATGTGTATTGAGGTTTGATTAAGCCAGATATGAAAATTAAAACTTGGCTTCCTATTCAAGAGAGCCTCTCACGCAGTGTGATACTATGACATCAAGTGTTCTGTTTACCCCTAAGGCTGGTGCTGCAATGACTTAGAGGTTTGATGGTGTCTCTTTTTTAAGTTGTTGAGCAGCAGGATAATAGCTGCACAGCGTGATGCAAAGACAGCAGAAAGCAGGGAAATCAGATGTGAATATATTCCCCGGAGATCTCCTGCTAAGATGGAGCTAACTAACCAGAGCTTTAGTGCTCAGATCTAGTCTTCTCATGCAGAGGATGGTCTGATTATCAGCTCTTCCAACTTTATTGTACTCTTTGGATTACAGATGCCATTACAAATCATGAATTCTGGTATAATATGCATTCTAGTGTAACTGTTACATTAAAAGTAACATTGTTTTTAAAGAGTTTTCTTCCAAGGTCAGTTCCCTACCTCACATAATGTCCAAGATGAATCTGGTAGTTTACAAAATGTAAGTCACTGTGGGTCTTCTGTGCTTACTTTGTCTTAATTGTTGAAAAGCCATACATTTACAGTTTATTTCATCATGAGCAAGACTGACCTGTCCTAAGGAAGGGACAAGAATACTGGTGAAGCTGTAGCCCACTTGCTGTTAACATGCATTGGCGTTATCATGTCATGCAACAGGAGTTGTCTTTGCTGCTGGGCAGTCCCTTCATTATTACCACAACTGCAGGCTCAGATGCCACAGGGTTCAGAGGGCAGAAAACACATCATCCTTCTTACCTCAGTTGCTGTTGGTGACACATCTGGTCTATAAAAATGAAAAGGAACTACTAATCCATTTTTCCATATGTGTAAGGAAGCTACATTCACAAACATTTTCAATAGCATAACGTGAACAGGGGAGCTAGTACCCATTGCCCGGCACTTGGCTTTGTATCATCACTGACTCACTCCACGGAGGTCTGTGGCAGTCTGGGTGCAACGGTAAAAGGGAGAACGTTCTTGGCATTCGCCAGAAATGCTTAGCGAGAACATCTCCATGTTTTCTCAGATACTGAAGACTGAAGTGGCAGTCTTTAGCGGCATAAGGCAGTCTCTGTGGTTTCAGTGAGTAGGAGGAATATCGGCTGACACAGTTATTGATGGTTAAGATTCTACAGTGTTATTTTCCATTTACCATCCTGCCCGCATAGCTCTGCTTTGTATACAGATAAGAGAGGAAAAAATGGTGAAGCTTATGTTACACGAGTCAAGTTCTGAAGCTAGTTTAATCCAAAATAAATAGGGAAACATTATCCTGGTCATTCATAGCCCTAGTAAAGTAGTACTTAAGGGCTTATAATTTATTCCAGGCACCCAAACAACCTTTGTGGATGAATGATTAAAAGAGTAAACTCCAAGTTAAACAGCACACAGGTTAAACCACAAATCGTTTTGTCACTGACCTTAAAGCCTTGGCCTACAGTGCCCCTTAACAGTTTGGAAAGGAGCCAGAAGCGAGCGCAAAGGCTCAGCCCCGAGTTTCCCTTTGGGTCTCAGGTACGCAGACCTGCGCCAAAGACAAGCAGCACCTACCTAGCACATCCCACTGGCACTACTCCGCAGCACAGGCCGCATCTTGCTACAGTGAGAATCATTTTGTCTCAGCTAGAAATAAACTGTTGCCTTAACAGCTTTTAGAACTTGAAGAGAAATTATATTTACAGATATTACCACCGTCAGGGAAGCTGAAAATTTCTGCATAGAATTCAGACTTTTGGTAAAGTCAAAGAAAGATAAGAGTTCAAACAGCCTCCGAGGCTGCACTGTAAGCTAACTTTTTTTTCCCTAGAGAGGGAAAAACAGACATGAGCAGTAAGTAAAAATTACCTCATACAAAGGCATGCAGATGCTATCAATCCATTCCAGCTGCAGCCTGGGTAGTTCATCTTTTCTATTCCGATCAAAAATGGCCTGAATTGAGAAGGGAACAAAACTGTCACGCTTTATTACACTGAAGTAGTTTATAGACGCATCATCCAGCACTTTGGAGCTACGATCAAATTCTCACAAACAGAACACTTTGTAAACCATAATCAGTCTTTGTAGCAGCCTTCTTACTGCTTTGTCTGGCATGAAAAATAAACTGTTTATTTTCAATCCTGTTTTGAAATTTGCAGGCTGAACGTATTTAAATTTAATAATTTGTAATGTAAAACAAATGCCCTGCAGTTGACATTCAGCTAGTGAGAAACATCCTGGGGAAATGTAAAGTAGATCACTTGGAGCAGAAATTTTCTTTTTCTCACACAGGTTTTTCCAGATCAGCAAAATGAACACTGAAGGATCTGGGCTGACTCCCTCCCTCACGATTACAGACCCGTTTTGCAGAACCAACCATGTCTGTGAAACGAAGGGTGGGGAATCAACAGATCAATCCTGGGAGCTGTTACCAGTTTGTTCTTCTGGAAACAGCTTAATTCATTGCCTGCTGGGCACCTCTAAGGAGAGAATTACGGAGGCCAAAGCTGATGTTAAAGAGGCTCAGCTACTGGCTGCACTGCCCTATGAAAGGAGCTGGAGAAAACTGTTATGAAGAGTTTTGAATGTGAGTTTCCTCCGTGACCTCAGATTACTTGGGTCTATCAGCTTTCCTTCTGCAGGATCTTAGTCCTCCTTTACTGGCTTACCCACACCACTCACCTAATGTCTCTTTTTCACTCTGAATATGCTAAGTTTTAAACCTTCCTGTCTTTTTCTATGGAAAGTTTGTTCTTATTCTGGGCCTATCTATCTCCTCTAGATTTGATAACTTACTTTTCTGGAACCTCTCTATATTCCAGAAATTCAGTTATACTATGTTGAATGTCTAGCCTGAATTCATATAGTTGTAGCCTGCTGTACAGGTATCCCAGTACAAGTAAGACATGGAGGTAAGATTCAAGGACTACATGATCTTACAAGGAGAATCTGGAGTGGGATTTTGGAAAATTCTATGTTTCCTCTTCAAATCATTTTGAAAACTTCTGTCCTTTTCAGATTTTTTAAACATAACGCAATCCTTGCATAATACCTGAACTCAGTCCTTGAGTTACCAGACAGAATATCACATTATCTTACTGACAGCTCCCTTCTCTATCTATCTTATCCAACTAGCAGCAATACCTATTTAGGTGGCTTTTCATAGGGATATGTCACGAAGTACATCAGCAGCTGATCTTGTTTAAAAATTCCTCCTTATCAACATGGTAAAATTTCACATGATTTTGATCCTAAGACATCAGATGTTAGAACTGATGAACTTCCTTATTAATTACTGGTCTAATCTCCAACATAAAACACTTCACACATCACTAAACCGGATTCTTGGAAACTGAAGGGCCAAACAGAGAGGAAAACCTTAAAAGCTTCCTTCAAGTTGTACTGCTTCAAAGCAAGCCAAATGTGGGCCCCAAATGATAGTATTCCTTGGTGTAAACTGAAGAGCCCAAAGAAAGAGTGAGAGGGCTCCTATGATGGAGGAAATGCTGAAGATGATACACTACAATAGCAATACATTCTTCTTCCCCACCTATCTAGGCTGTTGGATGCAGATTTTCAAAAGATATGAGGAATCCATAAGAACGCTCTGGCTTTGGTCTTTCTCTGCACTTCCACCAAGTCCACAGTATGACTAAACTGCAGATGTAACAGCACACTTCAGAATAATTCGTACGGTTGCTGGACCTGGGCCATTTGCACTGGAAATCATGGCTACTTGAAGACATTAACATTAATATATGTGTTGAAAAAAAATTACCTGTATGCTTAATTAGCGTGAGAAACGCACTTTGTAACTTTTATATACATAGTACAAAAAGCACATCTTATAGGGAATGGAGCTTGCAGGTACTCAGGACTAGATTTGGTCCCAGAATTGTTAAGTGCTGTGACTGACTAATTACTATGCTACTGGATTTTTAGCTACTCTTTTGCTGGGAAAACATACACACAGAACTACTATAGAGAAATCCATTAATTTCCCAAGCTGTGATAGTGTACAAGTGGAAAGCCATTTATTGTAGCTGAGCCTTGTTTACTACAAACTGATTAACTTTTTTGACTACATTATATCTCCACAGGGAGTATGCTCATGTGCAAGTATTACCGAAGCGAGAACAAGCCTGAACCAATGGGGAACTCTCTCTTTTTATTTTTGGAAGCATAAACATATTTGTGAATGGCTTGTAAGTTAAATTCTTTAGAAAACTTTCTTGTTTCCCCTCTCCTGTTTCACCCAGATAGTGGTTTGTCAACATTTTGGGGTATTTCAAACCATTCACTGAAAACCTTTATGAAACTTTCTTTCCGCTTAGTTTTTGTTTGACACTTTATACTCATCTGCCTATGTTCACTTAACACTGATCTATCGTCCAGAGTGTTATATTTAGTTGCATACTTACAGAAATGCCTTTTCAGCATTTGATACATCAAATAACACAAATAGTAGATGGCCACAACATAAAGTAAACCTGAAGATTTTGATGTCCTTATCTGGTGGTTTTTGGTTTGAATACTGTGCATTAGAAATAATACTTGTTGCTTTAGAAAATTAACAGACAAAACAGCTTTGGGAATAGGTGCAGAAGATGGAGAGAAGGGCTCAATGCAAATGTAATTGAGTTGACTGGAGCGCTCTATATGTGGCTCTACATGCACCTCGTTGTTGGACAGAGTTTTTATTTATTCCAAGATATTTCTCTCCATACAAAATGCAGTTTGTTCTCCTGAATGAATGCACTGACATTTTCTTACCCCATCCAAGTGGGTAGTTATTTCAGAAGTGACAAAAACTTACTGAAGGGGTGAGTTTGAGTTCAAATCTTTCTCTGTCTCCTTGTTCAAAGAACTCGCTGGTTACCAGTTCAGCTGCCTAAAACATAAATCATGATAAAGATTAGAGTTCTTGTTGCATAATTTTTAGAGCCATGAGTTGTTGCTCAGGCTATGACTTCAGCCTATGCTTAACTGTAAACAAGTTAATAGTCCCACCTACATTACTGATGTTAGGCTCATGTTTGTAAACCTTTCAGAACTGGACACACAGTGGGTATAGATAGCCATAACCACCTACAGGCACATTTTTTTCACCTGTTGATAAGGAACTGGGGGAATTACATTGCACTGTGGAGGTAACACTCATTGCAGGTCCATGTAACTTATTCAAGCACTGAGAAAGAAATGGAGAATTATAGTTTCTTGTTGGCATATATAATTGTCTCTGTACAAATGCTTTGTAAGGTGTGCAAGAGCTCTCTGGGTATTTACAGGCTCTTACCTTATTGAACAACTTCACTTGTCAAAGAAAATTAATTAACAAGTAACGCCTGTTGCCTAAATTTAAAGTGAGATCATAAAAGGGTTTTTTCCACCAGGCTTTATTTTTTTTTTTTCAGCGCCTGTCATCGCTGTAGGACCTGAACACCTAAATGTGAACTCAGATTATGATTACCATATTGGATTAAATGCAGGAACTGGTGGGATGGAAGGCGGAATGTGTCCTTCTGATTTTTGTGAATGAAGATGTTATTCTGTTCAGCAGAGGTTTGTGCTTCTTGGAAGAATATGAGATTTAAAAACAAATTAGTTGTGGGAACAACAGAAATTTCAAGAAGTCATACAATGAGCAATCTTGATATAGCAGCCTAAACGAATTCTGCTCTTCCCCATATGTGGGGGCTGAGAAGGTAGGTGCACGTGTGACATTTGAGATGCAACAAAAGGAAACTTATCTACTGAAGGTAGCCTCCAGGAAATTTCTTACCATGACTGCTTATTGTTTTCAAGTGCACTGAGGGAAAATGATTTCATAATACCACAGCACAACACGGTGAACTAAGGAGAGAACCTGCACTTCATAAAATTTCAAAATTTCTTGGTTGAGCAATTGCCTGGTAGCTAACATTCACGAATCCTAAGCTTGCTACAATTGAAATAGGGAGTTTCAAAATAAATTAGAAGTAGGTGAAGTGATGTTATAAAGTGCTGTTAAATCTTCAGCCAGGCTACCACATAGTTTGGAACTTTATAATGTATGAAATCCCAGCACACCAATAAAACTGTGGATCAATACTCCAGAGAGATGAATAATTTAACAACTTAGCAGCAATTAAGGATTTGCCAAGTATATTGTATAAGAGTAATCAAGAGGTATTCTCAGCCCTCTCACTGTTGTTCTGATCTTGTTCTCCTTAAGTCCCTCTTCTTTTGTCTGTTTCTATCTTGTCTTCTTACAGTTTGCCTTTACACATTTAATCTTTATTCCTTTTGATTCATATGTTTCAATCTCTTTCTCCCTCACTTTTCATGTTCTTTTTGTTTATGCACAGTTGAGGTCCAAGTATTTCCCTTGCTTTTCCCTCTATGGACTTTTTGGCCTCTGCTCAACCAGATAATGCTTCAGGCAATCCCAGCCTGGACTCTTCAACATGAAGTAAACTTGTACGCAAGGCTGCATGGGAATTTTCAGCAGACGTTGAATGTGCTAAAATTAAAAAAGAGTTTGCCAGAGGCTTCAGCACTGATTCAAGACCGTAGCACAAAGATTCACAACATGGAAAGCAGATCTTACTTGACATTTCAGCTGTCAAAGAAAATGGAGAAGCTAACTGGGTTAAAGAGGAAAAATAAGGGGGAATTCCACATACCACAGCTGTGGTTTGGTGGTACTGAAAAGACTTGCGACCCTTTTTCCCACTGCAGGATAACAGCAACCTCCCTAATTTATGTGAGAGGTAATCATATTCTGGCTGGGTAAAATAACAGCCTTAGAAGGACTATTGTCATAGTCTGCTTATAAAAGCAAAATATATTCATTTGACAAAATTGCAAGCTGAGCTGAAGCCCTTACCACATGAATGCTTTTTGTCTGAGTTAATGTGCATGTACTACTGCAAAAGCATACAAGTCCTTTTCAGCTTCTGCTGCCTTCCTTGTCCTTCTCCGAAAAATCTGGCTACTCCCATCTCACTAGTTCTCTTGTCTAGCTTGTCTTTTCATCCCTTCTTTTTATTTATTTATTTATTTTTTAAAACAATCACTTTGCCATTAAGCCAGTCAAATTCACTCCAGCTTCTTACCTACACTGAACTGCACTGGTATATTTTCTGTTTGCTTCTTGATATTGTGTATTCCTCCAAAACCCCATTTCCCAACATATCCTGCCTTCTGCCCACTTGTTCTGGACCTGAAGACAGGACAGAGCATTATTAGCATGGGGAAAGAGGAAATACTAGTGATGGATGTCGAGTAAGGAAAGGTGCCTCAAAGTGGGAAAATCATGTGGTAATGGACAAGACTCTTGGGACAAGCCTTGGCCCAGCAGCTTGCTTTCTCACATTTTAATTGCTTGCTGTACCAAATGTTGGTCTTGAGTATTACGTATACTCATGGCCTAATCAGCAGCAAAAGCCTGAATTTTTGTTTACTTCTAAGTACCGGATGCTACATAAGGTTCTATATTACACTTGCAGTGTTCCCATCACTGTTGAGCTATTTAGCACATTTCTCCTATCAAAACTGAAGATTTGATATTAATCAAGGTCTGCAGATTATCTGCTGGTATTTTTGCTTTAGGGAAGATTCTGCCTCTGCCATGCACACTACAAAGAAAAGCTTTGAGACAAACCAAGCAAGCAAAAACTACATATGGCTAACACTTTTTTTGTTTAATCTATCCATTTTTAAATACAGATTTAAAAGATTCACAAGAGGGAGAGAGGTTATAAAACCAGATTTCTTCAGGTGCCTACATACTGCTCACCAGCATGTGCAAATGAACAGATTATGCAATAAAGCATTCCTTGCAGAAACCTCCTGCTATTTTTTTTACAGCATTAATACTGCTGTAAATTGATTCCAGTTTTGGTCCCTTGTAAGACAGGGCCCTGGGAATATTGTCCCACCAGTCCCGCCTCTTCCCAGCCCTGCTATTAATCATGACTTGCCTGTCTCGAAATCTCCCACGGTTTGGTCACAGCTCCAAGGTCACAGGCTGTCATTAGCATTGATCTGAAAAACAGAAATGAACAATACAGGCTGAATCAACCTTTGTTGGCTTTCTAAACAACTCTGTTCTGGATGCATAAATAAATAATACATATATAAAATGTCAGCCCTGGCACCTCCTTTTCCTCCAGAAAAAAAGGATGACATGTTTGAAATCTCAGCCATCAGCGTTACTTTTACATCACAATTGTGCCTAGGAAGCCTAATGTATTGCAGGTCATCAGAAGACGAATTTTTGGCATTGTGCACTGCACACTAGAAAAGAAACGGTATTGCAAGAGAGTAACTGCTAATTTTGCAGTACTCCTAACACTATTTATATTAATTTATACAATATACCAGAAAGCATGTGCTTCACATGATATAAGTAAGGGCATTATTATATAATAATACCTGAAAACTGGATTAATTTATTTGCCTATTTGTAAGTGACTGCTGTAGCAAGCGAACCTATAATCATAAGAGGCATCCCAGACACTGTTTAAGCAGTTTCTACTGCTCATCTGCAATAAAAATTTAAGATTTACTATATGAGCTATACTGTTGCACTGTAGTTTAATACCAGGCTGCAACCATGTTTTATATGCATTAGAAGAAAGAAACCATTCAGCTGTAGAAAGCGTTTATGTACAGTACATGATGCAGATAAAAGTCTGAGAAAGTTTAAATGAAGAACAAGGGCACTGAAAATGAAGCATCAAATACATTGCCCAAATCTAAAATTAAGGATGGGTGAAATGATACGGAAAATAGAAAATGGGGAATATTTCAGCCAAAGGATCAAAAGGAAACACAGTTTTAATGAAACTGTGAAATTTTAACTAAATCGAGACCTAATCAGACATCCATATGCAAACACATGGATTTTAGTGTCTCAAAAGTGGGGCGTACCCAAACCACCCACAATGTCTGAGGTTTCCTACAGTATGCATGTCCAGATCATTCTCGAGGGCTAGAGGAGTACAGTGTATATGCAAATTCTCAGGTACAGACTAGAAAAGAGAGACACTCGGCCAATGAAAATAAACAGTTGAGATGAGGAAGGAAAGAGAAATGGGCAGGAAGGGTCCTTGAGCCCTGAGGCCAGAGTATTGGTGCTTTCTGGAGAGAGTGCAAGGGCTGAGAGGTAATTGGTGAAGCTGGGAGAAAGGGAAGAAAACATGATGGAGAATGTGAAGGCAGAAATAGGAATGGAAAAGGTGAGCCATACTGATTCCTTTTCTGCTAATTTCTGGTTTCATAATGTTTAGAAATCACCTGCTTATTTTAAAACAAGCTACCTTTTCTTGTTACTGCAGTCTTCTCTCCCTGACAAATACGGCTACAACTTGGAATAACCAGAAAGCAAGAAATAATGGCGCTCACCGAAATATTTCTCGATGGTCTTTTATGTTCCAGTCATAACCACATTTACTGACAAGTTCAAAAAACTCAGTTCTCCTCCTGCAGCAAAACAGATCATCAGAGAAGGAAACAGACGCTTTCAGGGCAGCGCTGCAGCAGAAACACTGTTCTCTTGACAATTCGAAATCATCACACCCCATGCATTATTGTTAAAGATGTTACGCTGTCAGGCCATTTAAGCGAAACATACTAATTTCCAAACATGTTCTATAAATGTCTGTCATCAATGTCAGAGCTGCCTGATAAAAGAGATGATATTGTATTTATGGTCTCCACAGATAAGGAAATAAAGGATATCAAAATGTTCAGTCTTCCATGGAAGCATGAAATATTTGACTACAGCAGTGGACAGACAGACAGTAGCAATACCCCTGAAACAGTCACACTTGTCTTTACTTGTCCTTGCAAAATGCCCTTTTTTTTTTTTTTTTTTTTGTTTTTAACCTCTGGATACTGAAGGGTTTTTCAGAGATGTCTAAGCAGTGTTATTTCCAACATATGGAAGATAACACTGAGACACAGAGGTTGCAGATGTCACAGCGAGTTAGTAGTTATTATCAACTAGAAACTAGGTCACCCTGCTTGGTCCCATGCTTTGTCCTCTGGAAGATCTCACCTACTTCCTCAAAGACTGATAAAATATGAGTCAGTACACGTTAACAATTGTTTGGAGTCTTTAAGTATCAAAATTTTGACTTATCATGGTTTATAGTTTTTTATGGTAACGCACACTGAGAATCCAAGGGGCTCTTACTGCACACACTGTGACTACACACATAGTCTGAAACAGATCCTGTCCTAGCAGAGGGGAATAAATGGGGAAAAAATATGAAGTGACTTGCCCAGGGTGACGCAACATACTAACATCAAAGCTGGACACAGAATACCTATTTTCTGAGTGACAGTCCAGAGCCCCATCTCACAGGGGTCTGTGCCAAGTGGAAACGTAGACAGATTTCTAACAGGAGAGAGCTGAGAGTTTTGTATTTTCTACATTTACTTCAGCTGGACTGAAGTACTGAAACAGTAATTACTTCAACTGCACATTGCTTCAGTGCAAACATACCCTGTTTTCCATTCATATTCAATGTGTGACATATAAATTTGAAAGTGCAGTGTGATGGCAGTGAGTTCAGGTTTTACGCATGAGGAGATGCATACCTTTGGGAACACTGCTCACTACCACTGGACAAAATTTAACACGGCCCATGTTGCATTATTCTGGTCCTTGAGTGTCGTGCATTATATGACTAGTCACTCCTACTCTAGGGTCCTTCTATAATGGATTTCATGATGACACTAGAATTGAGAGACACAGAGGCTACATGATGAGATCTAATTCCTTTATGTTTCATGAAACGTGATATAAAATGGTTTCACATTACAAAATTTGCTAGAAATTTGTGTAGAAAAGCAGCACCCTGAGAAGGTCATAAAGGTCTTGCTGTGCCTGGAGTTTGACTGCTATCCTGGGTGCTAGCCGGACTTTGTGATCATTAGTTTTAGGCATTCTAAGAATGCCGATATGAAAATTTCCTTCTCTGCAAAAACATTTAACAGGTACCAAACGGAAAGAACAAGCCTGGGTAGCAAGGCATTTGCATGGAAATATCTATTCACACAGGGTGTCTCTTACAGGTGTAAATCATTGTTTCTGGCAAATGATTTTCATTGACATTTGGAAGTACAGTAGCACAACAATGGCCTGATTAATGAATCATAACACCACGAGAAGAAAAGATAACTTATCTGCAGACTTCTAAGTAAAGAGGCTTTGTTTGCTAAAAGTTTTCTGATTTATGTAGCACATAAAAATCAATTAGGCAAGCCAGGGAAGAATAATCCTGAAATTCAGCTGATATCTCTTTTCGAAGATTATTTCTCTGCATTAGAAACTAAAAAAAAAAAAACCACTCAGTCATGTAGTTTTTCAGCCAAAGAAAGGCAGGAGAGAAAGCTCTGTCACATCTCAGTCTGGACTGGGTTTCCTCCTGAGGCACTGCAACACGCCCTCTCTAAGAGAGGGCTTCCTGCTCTTCCAAGAGCTGCAGAAGATCCCTCCCACGAAGAGGAATCCCTCACAACCAGCTGCACAAACCAATTCTGCAGCCCTTGTGATTTGTGTTTAGACAAGAGAATCCATACTGAAACCTCACTGTGGTCCTCGTTTCTTATGAAAAGCTGTCAGCAATTTCCACTGTCATATTACTCCTCAAAATCACAAGCAATCTTAACAGACAGCGTCAGAAAGAGTATTTTGAAAAGGGTTTATTTTTCCTGCTCCAGATTTTTATGCTAAATTATAAGCAGCACTTAATAGACTAGTCTTTAGAAGTCATTTATAATAACACTATTGATTAAAATACTTTCTTAATACAGCTTTTGTGAGAAAAGACTTACAGGAAATAAAGAACAGCAGCGTCTCAGTTACTGCACCTATTATTAGGAAAGAGCCCTTAACACTGTAATCAAATACTGAGCAAACTGACACGTTGCACCATTCCCCTTAGCACTCAGTTAAAGATACACTTTTAGTATAGATAGATGAACAGATTACAAGCTAAGGACTTTGCCTAAAGTTTTCTGGAAATGTTCTGGAAACCATCAGCACTCAGGATGGAAGAAAAAAAAATCCATGTTTCCTCCCCTAAAAGTTAAGAAATTGTAACTAAATGCTACAGTGTTACAATGCAGCATTGTACAAAGCAGGATGCTAATGGCAATCAAGCTATTTCTTAATGCATAGCAATTCCTAAGAATGAAACGTCAAGCCTGGGACGGTAGGACACAAAACTGCACACCTACAGCACTTCTCTCTGGAAGTCAGCCACACGCATGCGCTAGAGAGTGGGATTCCAAAAGCATAATGTCACCATGACACTTCAACTCCTCCAACCATAGGAACACTTGCATGCATTCTCTCTGTGAATATTTTGTAATTATTAATTAATTTGGAAAAGAAATAGCACGAACTTGAAGACTACCTGGAGACTTGATATGCAAACAAGGAAGATAAAGAAAACTTTATGAGAAATATCCCATCATACTTCTAAGTATGATAAAAGTTAACTAAATATTCTAAAGATTAACTTTGCCAGACACCCTCATCTGATGCAAATTGGCATAATTTGTCTTCAGAGAAGCTACATGTACTTTCACTAACTCAGCATCTGGCTCTGTAATTAAATATACTTTTTTTTTTTTTTTTTAGCACAGGTGTGTATACTACTGTAGATTTGAAATGGTGGAAAAATTACGAAACACCCTTGATTTTCTAAACGCCCAAAGAAATTATTACAGAAGGAACAGAGGGATTACAGAGCTGAGCTGTAGCTGATTCCTAGGACTGCTCTGAAGTATCAGCCTATGACTTCACTTGCCTTTTGTTGATACAAACACGCTATGCATTGAAGCAAAACTTATTTAGACACTTGAGATATTTCTATTAGGCTTAGATATACTACGTATTAGACTAAATCTCTTCAACCACAGCTAAACACTAATTTCTCATATTATATATCCTTATTGGTATTTAATAGGTCATTAGAGAATGTTCTTCGAATTTTCATTTGTCAAGTACAAAAAATGCCAATACTTACTCAAAATACAGAGTCAGGTCTGTTGCCAATATCGATTGCTTCAGAAGCTGCATAAGGTCACTGTAGTCCTTAGAGGACAAGTTAGCAAAGATGTTGTGACCCTATAATGAAAGAGATAAAGGAGGTAAAGGGCTAGCAATCAATATAGGTTTTTAAAGGGTTTTCTAACTCTTTCGTCTACTACTTCTCTGTAACAGAGGCTTTTTCTGATTCATGGCAAAACTGTGACAAAATAATAATGTTAATGCTATTGAGATTACATTGGGGTGGAAGAGTTGACCATTGTAATCAAGCACCCGGGATGGTTTTCCAAACTCTGCTGAAATTATAGCCTCTCGAGAAAAGATTTACTCTTTGATCTGACTCTGCACAGATTCAGTTTATGGAGAAAAACTATGGATACAACTCAATCTTTCCTCTTATTAAATGTTTTTGGGAGCTGTGCATTGCAGCTTTTGAGTTGTGCTCCTAATAGATTTATCTCTGCTGCTGCTTGCAGGCACACAAACTGCTTGTAGAGCAGTCAAAGACACTAAATCAGTTTTTCATTCAAAACAGTATCTTTGCTCACTCTGACTATTACGAGGTTGTCTTACAAGCCCTCGCTACCCAGCCGGAAGAACAGCAATCTTATGCAGCCTGAAGGCCCTTTGAAGGCCCAATACATTACTTTTCAGAGTCATGGATTAAGGTCTTGGAAGATGCTCCATAAACAGAATGAAAGGAAACAAATTATTTAATATTGATATTTGGGAGCAGGAAGGTGCTTTTGTAACTCAACTTCTGAAAAGTAAGAGGGACAGAGATTCTATAATTTCTCCATAAAATCCTGCCGAAAACAAGCTGTAAGAATCAAAATTAATGGAGAATTCTAGCTGTAACATCAGTCACATATGACTAAATTCACATAAAAAAAACACTACACTTACTCCAAACTGATGGGTGCTGTGTTTCATTAATAAATATTGAATAAAAATCCCAATGGGATTAATTTTCTGGTCTAGAAATAAGGACCTGGAGAACGAGACGCTTGATGATCAAAGAGGGGGACTTGCATTTCAGGGAGGTAGTATTTTATATCTAGGAAAGAAGCTGGAATATATTTCAGACCCCCCGCCCCCATAAGTTTCTTGATTTTAAAACTGGTAAAGGTTAAAAAAACATCTATTCTGATATGAGGTATAAACTTTCATCCAATTAGCCCTGTCTTGAGTCTGTCTCCAGGAAGACATCCTGCTATGGTGAAGATTTCAAGAACCAGAAAATTCACCACTTCCCAAGAAAGGTTGAAGTCTCATTAGTTTTTAAAAAAAAAAAAGTTCCCTTTTCCCTGTTTTGAATTGATTTGCTTAACTCTCAACTTTTAGCTTTTTGTTATGCCTTTCTCTGCTAGTATAAAGAGCTGTTTAATTCCAGTTATCACCCTCCAAATAAGTTAGCTTAAGCTATGTGGATTGAGCTGATTATTTAAAATGCTGATTATTTGAGATGTTGGGGCTTTCCTTTCCCATATCTACATTTTTAAGCTCTACATTTTTAACCTAATATCAAGAAACTGAATACTAGAGCAGTATCGCATGACAGATCTCTGCAACACTGAACACAGAGGTAAAGTTATCACCTTGTTCCCATTTGCCTGTGATCACAGGACACTCCCAAATGCTCTTCAAAAGTTACTGCAGAGTAGCATATAGTCTCCAGTTGTGCAAATGTGCACAATAGTTTCGTTTTCTATATACTGAACACATTTTGTAATAAGTTTTCTGTAGAATTAACAAAACGCGACCATTGTTTTGTAAGGAACGTGCGTCCATCGTTCTACTTCCCCTACTTACTCCATCTCTTGGCTAGTGCATGCTGTGTACCATTACTCAAAGGATATTCTAGGCAAGAACTGTATCTTTATACATATTGGCAAAGCAGCTAGTATACTTTGGACAGTACAATATCACTGAGAGTAATTGTAAAAAAAGTCATTTAACAAAATAATTCAAAACCGTTACGAAAATACTGATTACAAAAGAACTGTCAAAATATTGAATTGGTCCAGGAAAGGATGAATGTGATATACTGCACACACCACCTATGGAAAAGGTAAGAGCTCCTCTACCTATCACGCCACTGAGCAGGATATATGTAAGAAGACTGAGTAAAAGCTGACCACGTGATTAGGGTATGTTCTCCTTGCCGCTAGCTGATTGAGACAGATATAACCTCTGGGCTATACGAACAGCATTCGTAGTTGTTTAATTTTGTGCTAGTTGTGACCTTTGTGGTAACCAATAAATAATTCCTCAAGGAGAGGGCATTAAAAAGGTACTGTGTGTGGTATTTCCTCTCCCTGGCTCAAACTGCCCAACAGCTTACAGTGAGATTAATAGTAATGCTTTTGTACCTCACTCTGGAGAATCATGACAGCATGATTGAAATGGTGGTGCTCCAAGGTAGCAGAGGTGCCGTAGAGCTGAGCTAAGGCTGATCCGCTCCTGGAACAGAACACGGGGAGTCAACAAACGCTGCTCGTCTGCTTACGAAGCAGATTTCAGACACAATTTAGTCAGGTAATCATACAGTCACGCTCTCTATTTCAGTAACCATACTTGAGAGAGTTGGTAATTTCAAAATATTCATTTAAAGCTAGACAGTAGGCATTTATGTTCCAGACCTTGCTAAATATCATCGGCGAACTAAAGATTATTCTGGAACAACATGAAATTTTGGAATGGAACTTTCAGAAACGCCGCAGTGATTCTGCAGCACAGACACACCAGGTTGCACAGGGAGGACAAAATGTCATGTCCTTGGGGCAGGGGCCACCTCCTCTGCTACTGCTTTGTCTTTTCAATTCCTAGTAGATATAATAACAGCAGCTTAAAATGAACGTTTACAAACACTTTTAAAAAAAATCCTGCAAATGCAGCTGAGCTCCTGTCTTTACAGTCCATAAAACTAGGCAGTTAAAAACTACTAAGGTAAACAGAAAATCAGAAATGAAAGCTATGAATATAAAAGGAAAGTTTAACATCTCCTTAGAATGTATTTGCTAATCACATTTATTGTCTCAAATAAAATTAGCTTCAAAATGCATAGAGCAGGTGGTTTTTCTGAGTTTAAAGGACAAAAAAATATAGACTATAATTATGAAACTGAGCACTGTTGGGAAGCAGAGGGAATAGGACTGGATTGTCAGGGCAATTAATGTTCACCACTACTTCCCTTCTGGGACCTCACCTTTCTGCTTTCAGGGTTATTTTATACATGTGTGATAATGTTTGTCTTTTGTGAATATTTTTTGCATTTTCTTTATAGAGCCGTAAAATGGTAGCCTCTTCTTTGTACTCAGTTGTCAAACAACAGGGATAACTGAGAGCACTCTAATGCTGAAACCTCTACCTTTAACTCACCCATCCCTCTGCTCAAGAGATATTGCTGTGTAACATTACAGTAGAGAAGTGGTTAACTTGTGGAGATGCAAATCTTATGTCTCAATTTTGCGAATCAGGAACATAAACATCAATCAGCTGAGCTTCCTATTTGCCTCATCTTTTCTGATTCTCTTCAAGACTCTGCTGCAAAAAGACATCTAGCAGTGCTTAGTAACCTTCGCACCAGCAGCTCTGTCTTTTGAACACTGCAATTGATTTTCCTGGCTATGACGACTGAAGATCCAGACAGTGTCATTGTTTCATTGAGACTGTAGAGCAACACCAATAGCTGAGGACATGGCAGCTTAGAGAACATCGGAAACATCAGTTTGAGTGACGTTCAGTGAGGCAGTTTGTCCCAGAAACGCAGCAGTCCATGCATACACAAGTTGCAGCAAATGGGGCCCTCTTTTGCACATAAAAGCGTAGAATAGAGAAGGCTAATACAACATCACCCTATCTTTCAAACATCTTTGGACAACCATTTGGCCACTTCCTCCTCAGACTACAGGAGTAGCAGCGATGCAGAACAGACAAAGCTGCAAACACCCTGGGATCTGCAGGGCAACAGAGCTGCAAGGTCTCCCCAGATCTCTTAAGATGACCTAGGGAGTCAACAAAACAACATGGGATATGGAGAAGTAGTCTGTGTGACTGACAGCTCCATTTAAGAGCTGAGCCAGGATGTTGTCAAGGGACATTTCTTGCTGCCTTTCAAATGCAGATTTTGGGCACAACTTGACCTTGGTCAAGGGAGTTCGCTCACCTTCCAGTAAGGAGGAGTACCACTAAACCTTCCACTAACCTGCTTCTACCTCACTAATGTGTCTGAGTGCAATACCCCAGAGAGTAAAAAAATGTGCAAGTCGGGCTGCTAGATCAGGTCCTAAGCACCTTGACTAGAATAAAATTCATTTTTGGAATTGAAAAAGATCCAGAGAGCAAGATTTCATTTAGGGGATGCAAGAATCTGAATGCAAAACCCAGCATCATGTTCTGGGGGGTACTCACCATTTCACTGGGTGGCCAGGCCACCCCTGTGCACCAAACAGGCTCTGTGTACTCCAGCGTGCGAGACAGGCCACAGAGGAGTCATTTATACAAACCAATGGCCCTATGTGCCCGATTTCAGTCTTACCTATTTTCTTTTCTTTTTCTAGCTTAACAAGGTTTTGTTTAAGTTCATACATTCCAGCCAGCAAGAGCAACCCAGGCAGTCTCAGTTTCCTGTGTCTAATACCAGAGTTCATACCTGAGCCTGACGAACACCAGACTTTGGTATTTCTACATGTGGTCTCAGTGCATCGGGGTAACGCAATCAACAGCCTGATACAAAGGACAAGTCAGTAATTACCTCAAAGAACAGAGAATCATAAAGACGGACAGTCCCTCACTACATACAAAAATAAGAATATGTGACCTTGGCCCAGGAGGCCTGAAATTAACATATCATGCTTTATCCTGGTCACCTTTTGCTCTTCTGTGGAAGGAAAACAAATTAAAGTAATAAGAATTAGAAAACTTACTTGGCTTGGAAGGCATTGTTGGTTCCCCTGTGGTCAAGGTCGTGACATAAGCATCCCACAATCAAAGCAAGGATTTCAATTTCAGTTAGAATCTCCTGAAATCCTCCTGTCTGACAACAGAAAAAATAGCAGCTGTAACTATCAGAAGCAGAAGGGATAAGTAATGTGGGTCCATTGAGCAACAGTCAACTTTGTTTTGATACCATGAACCTTTCAGTAAGGAGAAGATAAATGCTTTATTGTCATATTATATTCCCTGCAGTATGTTAGATGGTTAGCAGAATAGATAATGTCCTTGGAGTGATCTATTATTACCTCTCTGTTGCATTTCCAACATGCCAGAAGCCACTACCATTTCCAACTACCCAGAAGGCACCAGAGGGGAAAAGAACTGAAAGTAAAAACCAGTAACTATATACTAAGACAGGAACTGGAATTTCATACGAGACCAATACAAAACAAAATTGATTCAATTTTGAAATTATCAAGAGAAGTCCTTTGACAAAGATTTCTTCAATCCTGAGGTGACCATCTTAGTTAATTCCTACTACAGGAAATATTTGAAATGTTATTAAATCAAAAGACCTATAAAAGAAACTAGCTAAAATATATTTTATGTAACCATGATGATCTATTAAGAGATTTGTTCTCTGGGACACAGGAATTAGAAAAAAAGTGACATAATTTGAGGAGATTTTGTCTCAAATGACATAATTCTCCGCAGATATCTCCTTGAATTTGAGATAAAATTTTAAAATTTAATGTACTGAAATTCCCCATGACTGGCTCAGACCAGATATGCCTGTGTGAACGGGCAAGCTGATCTTAGAAAACACTTTTTGGTCACTCTACTTCTCCTCGCAGATAGTTGCCATAGCAGTTTTTCTGCCTGAACTGCCTCATGCCAGAGAAGAGACACTACTGTTACCGATAATCTCAAGCATCCTGAGCAGGTTACGTCTGAGTGAGGTGCTGGAGCGTGTGTGAGATACCACCTCACTGGTTCGTGCATCTTACCCAGGGCAGAAACAACCTGGTTCTTCAACTTTTCATAAATGTAAGGTAGCACTGCCTATAAAAGTGACTGGCTGAGCTAGAAAGTCACATAACATTCGTCTTTCCACAGTGCCAGTCCCCAACCACACTCTTTAACTAGCGCCAAGATCCAGTTACTATGAAAGAAGCACGCAAAAGAAATACAGTATACATTTATATTGGAAGACTAAGCCTAGGCTGAACACTAGATTGTAAGAAATCCCAAATTCCAACTGATTTTCAGTGGAGCATAATTTCACCCACTGCCAAGGGGACGGTTAGGTGGTTCAAAGACAGTGAGTATCAGCGCGATTTCATGTCCTCACTCTCCTTTAGGAACGTCCAGCCCACTCAGAGATGCAAGTCAATTCTTGAAACACCAAGTGAAAACTATGCTTGTGACCCTGAAGACCATAAATTCCACTTCAATAAATTCATATTCAAATCCAAATATCTTCTGCCTCTATAGTCTGCTATGTGACTATTAATGTTTAGGCAGTATAGGGGGCCAAGATCCCCCAAGCGCTCAGGAACACATGTTAGCAGAAATTGAGGAAGTACAAGAACTTGCTAAGAAAGCTTTATAACAGGACTCAAAATTTACATACCAAAATGATAATCAAAAATGAGGGAAAAAGGTTTCACTCATACAGAATCCACACGTCTACAGAGTAACTTCAATATTACGAAAAGACTTCTCGTTACTAGCTGCATTGCTTTTAAAATTTTAATTTCAGTAACAGCTACACAGGCAGAAGAAATATCTGAAAAATATGGTGTTTTCTGTTTTGATTTTGTAAATAGTGCTGTCATATAACAAACAATAATAATCAAAGTCTCTTTAAAAATAATAAAAGAAACCTTATAACTGACGGCATGTCATTTGCCGTGCTTCAGTCCAGAGAAAATGTTCATGGATGAATTATAAACCGCTGAAAATAGAAGTTTTATAATAGAAAATTGATGCTGTAATAAATGGTCCTTAGCATAACACAAGCTTTGATTGAACTCAAGGATTCAACCTGTATTATAAACATAGGAAAACAGATTAAGGAATTTATTAACAGTAACAATATCTCAAGAATAAATTCAACATTTTATTTAATCAAAAATCCTCTCATGGAACATATATATGTATATATAGAGAGGGAGAGAGACAGAGAGAGAAATATAGTGTATTTCATTTAATAAAAATATTTAATTTAAAAACAGGGTTACGCTAAGAGGATATCTTTTTTCGTACACAACGTAAGAAAGAAGATTACGTTTCCTCATTTTTTCAATTTATGCATAGAGAGAAAAAATACATAACGATAGACGATGGTGCAGCAGAATTTATTTTCACCAGAAAAGGAATGACCCATAACTCATGAGTGGCAGAGTCTCCAGTGAGTTATGGAGGTCATTCCTTCATGGGAGGAAATGAATTGCATTCGTTATATCTTGCCCCACATTTATACGTTTTGTTGTTAGCACACCAGATGGGATTTTAATTTTATACTACTTAGTTTTTTTATTTTTACTTTTTAAAATAAGTATTTAAATGAAACGTGTCAGACAAAGTCATCGGTAATAAGCCAGCCAGGGCTTGATCCTGCGGTTTATTCTCTCGCAGGAGCGGTCTTGCTTCAGTGCTTGTCTTTGGAATATCTGGGCGAGTCTGAAAGAGAGAAGTACGGCTCGCAGGATGGGGCTAATAATTCTCCAGTGTCTATCTGGAGAGAGAAAATATATGTTTAGGTATACGGAAACCTGATACAGGAGTGAAACAGCTGGCTCAAGATTTGTTGCATTTTTGGTAGTTGGCTTGTTCAACCCATCTGAATTTTGCTACTGCTTTAAATGGGAACTTGGTTACCACAATACAAATTAGACATCACTCCACTACTATCAGATCTACTTTTCTCTTTTTTATAGAGAAAAAAACTGAGGTACATATCTATTATGATGGTTCATGCAACAGTAAGAGCAAGCCTTGTGCTATTAGTAGCTGCTTGACTATCACTTTTGTGTGTTTTTTTTCCCCAAGACCAGTCGCCCTGTCTCTGGTAGTGACAGCAGCCAAAGTAGGTCACACACTAAACTTAATTCGGTTCTCACAAAAGACAGCAGCAAAGCAGAATAAGACTTCTGCTAAGTCAAATCCCCGTGGCACGTATGCCCACTTCGAACTCACCGCACCGTCACTGCTGCACTTAGCAGATGCGCAGATAGTAAAATGAGCTTGGTTGAAAACTCTAGCTCACCTCCAGCAGGATTTGTCCAGCTACCGCTTGCGAAGGCGATTCTAAAATTATGCTTTGCAAAACCACAGTAAAAGCAGTTTAAGATTTAGGCCTACCAGGCCTGCTGTCGGCTGTTAAAGAAATTCTGAGGTCTCTTTTCTCTCTGCTGGCTGCCAGTGCAGTCATCTCTAGAGGAGATGGAGCTGCCTGGGAAGAAGGAATGTCTCCCACCCAAAATAACAACCTGCGGAAAACTTGGCCTCAGAGCTCCATCTAGAGGACGTTTTGTCACACAAATGAGATTTGCAAAGCTGGGGGACCGTAGCTCTTCACTCACCTAGTGATAGCGTTTGCCAGAAATTAACATAGTTCCTAGTTACACACCATCTCCTGGATTTGCTTTTATTTCTTAGAGTAAAAATTTTTTTATATTTACTACTATGTTAAAAAAGTGAAGACTGTAAACTTCAAAAATTACCAGTGGTCACACATTATCACGAGATTTCATTAAAGATCAGCGTTTGCTGGAAGACAGAAACAATTTTAATTCTGTTCAGCTGAACAACCTCACTCCCACTTACTTTGTCTCTTATTTAACATCTCTGTTCACTTTGCCTCAGGGTAATGGATACAACCTATTACATCTTGGTAAAAGCTCACAGCAACTAACCCTGTAGCTCACAGGACAGGTCGAGAACTAACGTCATTTACCTGTTGGGTGACGTCATACCCTGTGTTTTCTTAACTGACGTACACAGCTGCGTCACAGAGATGAGGCAGACTGAGGAGGACAGGTGAGAACACACGTTACAGATAGCGGTGCGCTAAGAACGTGTAACGTGCCACGGGCTTAGTCTGAAGTCCATTTAACAGAGTGGAAATATTTCAGTGAGCAACAGATGCAGCACCGATCTGCGCTGCCCGGCTAACGGGACAGGCCGCACCGTCTCTGCGGATAACACCACTGCTGACAGTGCCCGAATGCTATTCATGCCTCATAGACTGGCTAGCCATGAGAATTTAGAAATTCAGTGTTTAAAAATTAAGGAACAAGCACACGATATCCTTTGCATCAGTAAGGCCTTCCTTGGTAATTTCCACAGACCGAGGTGTCTTCAAAACACAGCTCCCCAGCAATGGGAGCCCAGTGGTATTCTTCTTGTCAGCAAAATGCCAGCTCCCAAATAATTTGCAGAAAAACTTGTTTCTCCTTCAACATCTCTGTTGAGATGTGAGAATTTTGGAACTGTCCACCTGAAACCACATTAACCTTTAAGTCAGAAGTTTTGGATTTTATTCCTAGCTGTGTCACATGCTTCCTCTCTGTCCCTGGGAAAGGAAATATACTCTAGTATTTGCAAATGCAGCCTTCGTTTTTGGGTGCCTCCATTTGTTAGTTCCTCACAAAGAAAATCTGAGATAGTTTTTTAGTGGTAAATACTCTTTCTAACTGGAAAAAATAGGCTTATCTGCCACCTACTCTTTTTGTTTAGTATCTACTCACGAATATTAGAGTATTGCTTTCAACTCCCTAAAGCATTAAAAATCCATGACAATTTTAAACAAGGAAAACCATCAAAAGGGGGAAAAAAGCTTCAAAAGCCTTTTCCACTTTTCACAAGATTAAAAAACTGTAAAATTGTCACATCTCTTACTGACCCACAGGCATAAGCTTGGGCTCTAGAGAGTTAAAGGCATCTGCCTGATAAATGTGTGCAAACATGGAAAATGATGAACGAAGAGTTTTTAATCATGGCCACGTTGGTACTGGTATGACTTAAAAAAATTGTTTTAAAACAAACGCCATGGGGCAAAGGCAAATCTTTAAAACTATTTACTTTTTCACAGAATGTATTTAAAATTATCAAGTTTTCATAAACTTTAATTTCAAACAGATGCAGAAATGCCTGCACAAATCCTGTCATAAGACCTTCCTAAGATTCACAACAGGTGACTAAAAACATCAGAACTGACATCAACATTGAAAATGAAGAAAAAATGAAAAAATTTGAAGTTGAATTTCTATTTTTATCTGGAGATAAGGCAAAACCAAAATGAAAAATAAAGTAGTGTGTGCATACAGCCATATTCCTTCTATCAAGCCGTATGAACCAGAATCTTAAATGTTACAGGACCCCCAGTCTTTTTATTGATACACTTACAGGAATTAACTAACCACCTAACAAACATGGATTCTTTCATGTGTTCAACAGGAGTTACTTGGCGGAGATGAGATAAAGCTCCTGATGGAGACAGATGTTAGTAAAACCAGCAGTCCTACAGCGTCCAATGAAGACACAAGATTCACTCAGATGACTCTGTTGGAAGATGATCTTAAAATGTTTTAAGGCAATACCTTCTACAACTATTTAGATGCTAGAAAAGAAAAGAAAGTGATGAATATAAACTTAATAAATAGTACTACTTCTGGGATTCTAATCTTCCACGTTTTTGTAGCTTCCAATTTAAGAGACTGAAATAAATGCCAAAACAAAGAGTTCCAAAAGAAAAACATTATTGTAAGATCAAGATGTATTATAATAAGCTCACTCCAAGACTGCCATCTGTTTTCAGTCACTTTAATGTGCCTGTGATATCACTGTCACTAAAACACCATAAAGTTTTGCCAAATATATGCCGCCTTAAGTTGAATATCCTAATTCTGTGTGCATTTCTATCTAAAATAAACGAATTTCATAATAACTAGAAAAGAAAACAAAGGTTGGAAAAGTGTTTAGGCAGGTAAGACAACGTGACAATAAAAGCTCTTATGGGATTGTGTCTGTAGCCGGATACTTACAGTTAACATTGCAAACATCAGCTGGCACACGTTGAAAGCATGCCTCCAGTTGTGATACAAAACCATTCGATAATTCTTCCTAACTGTCAAAAGCCACCTACACAGCGTCTGAAATGAAAAGTACAAATTGTATCAAGGCTACTAAATGTGTACAAATGGACAGAGCAGTGCCAAGACAAAAGCAGCAGATATCTCTGCAGAGCAGATGGTTACCTCATAGTCAATTTTAAATTTCTGAACCATTCCAAGTTCCATGAACATCCGGAGGGCTGCAGTAATCATGGCATCCACATCAAGTGAGAAGTCATCGAAATGGATATCATCAATGCCGAGCTCTGACACCAGAGGAACGTTTGCTGCCTGAAAATGCCAAAGGGAAAGGGAAACTTCTGATTCAAAACTTGGATCTTTTTTTCTTTGTCAGTCTCTTAAGGGAAACCTCCCACACCTCAGCTCTGACCAGTACATCCCCTGCTTC